CTTCTTGCGTTGTATTTACTTTTTTTGCAGGAAGGGGTCGTGTACGCCGTTGAATTCTCGCCGCGGTCAGGTCGCGACCTGATCAACATGGCAAAGAAGCGGACAAACGTTATCCGTACGCCCGCCTTTTCTTTTTTCATCTTGTCGCTAACCAATAAATGCCACAGCGATCGTGGAAGACGCACGACTGCCCAACAAATACCGCATGCTCATTTCAACCGTGGACGTGATCTTCGCGGACGTCGCGCAGCCCGACCAGGCCCGTATCGTCATCCTGAACGCGCAGAGCTTCCTCAAGGACATGGGCCACGTCGTCATCTCGATAAAGGCCAGCTGTATCGACTCGACCGCCCCGCCCGACGTGATCTTCGCCGCCGAGCTGCAAAAACTAAAAGAGGCCCGCTTCAAGGCCCTGGAGCAGGTTACCCTCGAGCCGTACGAGCGCGACCACGCCATGGTTTCTGGTGTGTCTGCATTTATTTCATCAGGGTCGTTACCGCCACTGACTGGGGTACAGCGCAGTACAGACGGCATACCCCCCTATGATCCGTGCTCGTTGTCGTTTTCCTCCTCTGTATCTATCTATCTGCTTGAATACACTCCGTACATACTCTGTTACATCTTTAAGTTTAAGTTTTTTCTGCGTTGCCGTACTTGCGATCGATGCGTAAATGACGCCAAATAACGCTACATCCCGCACCACCACTACCATGGTCAGTCCCTGTCCGTCCCCCGCCCGTCCTGCGCTGCGCTGACGGGCTCCAGAGCGACAACGCAGGTATTGTGCGCCCTGGGATGTGCTCTTACAGCGGCTGACCGTGGCGCGCAGAGTACAAGGAGGCTTTTGCCCTGTTCGACAAGCGCGGCACGGGCGCCGTGCCGCGTGAGACCCTCGGCGACCTGCTGCGCGCCCTGGGGCAGAACCCCACCCAGACTGAGGTCGCGGAGATCGTCGCCGCCGCCCCGCGCGACGGTGCGTCTCCTGTGCCCGCCAATATTCAGAATGACTGCTGATGATTCGCGTAGTGGACTACAAGACCTTCCTCGCGATCCTGAACCGCCCGGACGGGTTCAAGCCCGCAGGGACGCCTGGTGCGCTGCGCGTCTCTCTTTCGGCGGTGGACCGTGGCTAACGAGTCCGCGCACAGAGGAGTTCATCCGCGGGTTCCAGGTGTTCGACAAGGAGGGGAACGGCTTCATCGGCGCGGGCGAGCTGCGGTACGTACTCACGCAACTCGGCGAGAAGATGAGCGACCAGGAGGTCGACGAGCTGCTCAAGGGCGTTCAGATCGGCGCGTGCGTATCACCGCTCTCCCTCATCTGCTACTTGCTCACATGCTGACAGCGACGGGAACGTCAACTACGAGTCGTTCGTGAGGACGATTCTTAGCCAGTAGCCAGTTCTCTTCGTGCAGCAATAACCAGAGTGTATCATATTACGACCGAACTGCTAATTTTTGTTCTCTACGTCTATTCCTCCGAAATGTACCCATCGTCGTCTGCATCGCCGTTGGAAGTCGTCTCGCGCGCAAGCATGTGCACGACGAGCTGCCCACCGCCCTTGAGGGACTCGACCTCGCCGACCGTCCCGCGCGCCCACGGGATCTCGCGCCGCGGGTACGCGAGCACCAGCTGGAATCCCCACCACGCGTCCGCGCCGCCTGCACCTGCAATCTGCTCCTCCATCGCGTGCTCGACGTCCGCGGCGGCGTGCCCCGCAGGCGACACCGCGTCACCCGCAGCGTCCGCGAGCTGGGCGTCGACGAATGCGTATAGCGCCGTCAGCGAGCGTGTGTCCGCAAAGCGCCGCAATATGCGCGCGCCGTCGGGTAGCCGGATCGCGAGCCGCACGCCCTGTGCGTCCTCGGCCTCACTGTCGAGCGCGCGCCGCGCCCATCTACGCCACCCCGCGCGCTTCATGGCCCGCGTCTCTGCCTCGGCCGCCTCGCGTGCAAGTCGTGCTGCTTCGGCCTCCTGGGCTGCGCGCACGGCGTCGGCCTCGCGAGCGGCTCGCACATCGGCCTGCATGAGCGCTTCAATGCGCGCCGTGTCGCGGGCGGCGGTCTCGCGGAAGGCGCGGTCCTGCTCGGCGCGCAGGGCGCGGTCGGCGGCGGCGGTGTGCTGCGCTGCGCGGAGGCGGGCGAGGAACGGCGTTACACGCGGGAGGAGCTGGGTCTCGAGGTGCGCGGCGAGGGTGGCGGGGGAGGTGGGGCCACTCGGGGGGCCCTGGTGACGGGAGAGGACAGTGAGCGTGGGCGGCGAGGAGCCAGAGGAGGAGGCGGGGCGTGGGGTGCGGCGGGGCTGGAGGGCGAGGAAGGCAACGAAGGGGTAGGTGGTCGCTTGGAGCTTCAGGGATGCGCTGTACGCCTCGCGATCGCGGACGTCGCCGCCCCAGACGACGATGTCGTTGGCGTGCAGCAGCCGCACGAGCGTCGGATCTGTGAGCGTCGTTCTAAGGGCGTATTAGCGACGAGTAGTACTGGGACTATTGCACTAACCGCTTGAACTCGGGGACATCGTCGTGTTCCTCGCTGACTAGGACGATGCAGCCGATGCGCAGGTCACGCTGGCAGACGCGCAGGGCCTCCTCGTACGTGCCGAGGGTAAAGTCGGGCAGCACCTTGCGGTCGTTGGTCCCACGATGGGTGAGCGTGGACGGCCCGGCACCAGCGTCGATCCCGGACGCGGTTGCGCTCATGCACTGCGCGCCGGTCTCCTCCTCGAGCTCGCGCACCCAGCGGTCGGCGCCGCCGTCACCCCGCGGGGGCGTGCGTCGCGGGCGGAAGAAGGCGAGGTTGAAGGCGAATGGGCGGGGAAGGGGAATGCGCAGGACGCCGAACACGAAGCGGAGAAGAGACGAAAGCAGCTGGAACGGGAGGGCGAGAAACGAGAAGGACCAGCCGGTGCTTCTGGGGACAACAGGCTGGTACTGCTCACTGTCATCGACTTCAAAAGATTCGATGGGCGGCGGCGGCGGCGGGGGTGGGGGTGCTGCGCCGGCGCCAAAGATGAGCTCTGCGGCGCGCTGGACGTCCCAGTCGACGCTCTCGAGCATGCTGACTGCGACCTCGTCGTCGCCGCCGTTGGTGAGGTCCCGCAGCTGGCTGACTGCGGCCTGCTGAGACGCGCTGAGCGTGGACATGGTGGTGGTAGGTGCGCGAAATGCAATGCACGCCCGCCAGTCACGTGCAAGGTATGCGGGCTGCGGCTGTGCACTCACTGCGCTCCTTGCTCGCTGCTCTTCCTCATGCCGTCCCAGTCCACCCTCAACACAGACGAGAAGAACAAGGTCAAGGCAGCAATCCCCACCACCACAAATAAAATCCTCTACGCCGCCCTCGCCCGCATCTATTATGCCCATCCCCAGCCAGACGAGTGGGCCTACGCCGGCCTCCAGGGTGCACTCGCCTTTGTCAAGGATAGCGCAAAGAACACCCATGCCTTCCGTCTCGTCGATCTGACTGGAACCCGCGGCGTCATCTGGGAGTACGAACTCTACGACGGCCTCGAGTATTTCCCCGACAGAGCCTTCTTCCATTCCTTTGCCGCAGATGTAAGTATCCGTCCATTTTCTACCCCGCCTGTATTCATGTTCCCAGGAATGCATGGTCGGATTCGTGTTCGCCGACGAACGCGAGGCCAGGACGTTCTGGAAAAAGGTCATCGCGAAGAAGGACTCCAAGGGCTGTGAGTTTTACGTCTACTCCTGCGTTTTCCTCTCCCTCAACGCGCCCAGCCAAACCCGCATCCGAGAAAAAGAAGAAGGCAAGCAAGGGTGGCAAGATCGACAAGTCCATGATCTCGGGCCCCGCGTCCGGCTCCTTCGTGCACGTCGCGCACATGGGCTACGACGAGGATCAAGGCTTCACCTCAAAGGGCGTCGACCCCTCCTGGACCGCCTTTCTCGGCCAGCTCGAAAACTCGGGCATCGACAAGAAGATCATTGCCCAAGAAATGGATTTCATCAAGGACTTTGTCCGCAAGCACCCGCAGCAGGCGCCGGCACAGGCACAGAAGGAGCCCAAGAAGCCCAAACCGCCCCCTCCGCCGTCGCGCCGTACGCACGCCCAGACGGACAGCACCTCCTCCGTCACCGCCCCGCCACCGCCACCGCCACCACGGGGCAGCCGCACATCCCAGGCTCCGCCCCCGCCCGCGCGTTCGCCCACCGCCCCGACACCGCCCGCGCGTCCGGCTCCGCCCGCAGCGGCTCCAGGGCCACCTCCCCCACCTGCACGACCCGCTGTTCGCACACCCAGCGTCCCGCAGCCCCCACCGCGCCCGACCAGCGCTGCGCCCCCAGGTCCCCCGCCTCCGCCGCGTCCCCCCACGGGTGGGGGCGCCCCCCCTCCTCCACCTCCGCCTCCTCCACCCCCACCACCGCCGATGGGTGGAGGTGGAGCGCCGCCGCCGCCCCCTCCGCCTCCACCCCCTCCGCCCGGCGGCGCGCCCGCGGGCGTCCCACCCGCGCAGCCCGGGCGCAACGCGCTGCTCGAGTCCATCCAGGGCAAGGGCGTGCACTCGCTCCGCAAGACTGACCCCTCCGCCTCCCCCGCGCGCACTGCGCCCGAAGAGCCGACCTCGCCAACGAATGGCGGTGGTGGCGGCGGCGGCGATCTCGCGACCGCGCTCGCGGAGGCGCTGATAGTGAGGAACAAGAAGCTTGGCGATGGCGATAGCGATGAGGAGGAGGACGACGAGGACTGGGATTGAGTGTGTAGACTGTAGTACATTTAATATTATTATTCTGCCTCAACTGGCAAGGAGAGATTAGATCGATTGGGTGTTTGTAAACCACATGGAAACGTAGTCCTGTCCGACAGGGCTCTCAAGTTACCCATTTCGCTAAATTGATCGCCAATCAAATCGTGATGGGAACACAACGGGCCTTCTTGTTGCAACTCTCCAGGGTGAAATACTGCTCGTAAAATCTCCAAAATATTGGTGAGGATGGGTAAGGAGTGGCGGAAGAGTTCGAGTTGGTCCAAATAATTTAAAAAGGGCCCAACCGGGAATTGAACCCGGGACCACACACAAACTGGGATTACACAATGAATCCCGGGATAACCCGAAGCGTGTATCATACGTCTAGACCATTGAGCCGATGAAAAGGTCACCTTTAATAGCATTCTGACTACACGGGTCTGCATAAAGTTAACATGGTGCCGCCACATTAATCACTGCTGTCAACTCAACTCATGAACTGTCTCGGTAACCCAGACATTCTGAGTGTGATCCTGCTACGCATATAATTTTATCTCAGACTGATCTGGCAGAGATTGAATAAATGATAAGAGAATGATGGCACAGGATCACACTAGAACATCTGGGGCATTTAGTGTGTAACACCTCCATTGGGTTGCAGGTGACTGATCTTTCATGTGAAAGTATCTCGCTTCCATCTTATCACCCTTCCCACCTATCCCGCCATCCGATGGTGAGCCTACCATCTTCCATGGTACTCGGATCCTGAATACTCAGAACCTGACTCTGATGACTCCGATTTTGACCCCAAGGATTTTCTGGCATTAGATGTTGATAATCCTGATGAGAATGAGGATGTTGACTTTGACACAGAGATTCCTGACATGACAAACAACATTCCCACAGTACTTGCCTCCAATGTCAACAAAATACCTCTCCTCATAGCCGGGCTTGGACTCAGTGTAAGGAGGGTGGATGGTTATCTTAACTGGTCACCTGAGTTAAACTGGCCCAAGGTCTATTGGATAGAACTAAGGAGTGGTGGTGGCGGTGGCGGTGGTGGAGGTCATGGTCTGCCAGGTGGCAGTGGAGGAGGCCATGGTGGGCCCCCTGGCCTGCCAGGTCCTCCTGGTCCCCTGGCTGGTCCCGGACCTCAAGGTCCTCTTCATGGTCTTCAATCACAAGATCAGCTACTTGAGAGCACTTTTCGCCCTTTCCGGGACACAGTTCAAATGTATCTCCACTCTCAGACTACTCCTGCTCTCCCTCCTCGCTCGACTCGCTTGAACCTCTGGAATCCAAACACGTTCGATGGCTCTGATCTCTCCAAACTCCAGTCCTTCCTCACCCAGTGCTATTTTCACTTCGCGGAATGTCACCAAGACTTCACTTCAGATGATGACAAGATTTTCTACACCTTTCTCTGAGGCACTGCTCAGCAGTGGTTTGAACCCAACCTTTACGACCACTCTTCCGGTTTGGTTCCGGTTTGGGACAGGAACTTTCTGCATTTCATCCAGGAGCTCCAGGAAAATTTTGGTCCTCACGCCCTATGGGAGATGCAGAGGATCTCATCCGGTTTTGTAGCATGAAATATAGTGACCGAATTGCCACCTACATTGTTGAGTTTGATCATCTCTCAGTTCTCACCCAGTGGAGCCATAATGCCCTCCAGCACCAGTTTTACAAGGGTTTTCCTTGCCGAATCAAGAATGATATGGTTCATCATAACTATGTCAACACCTTGCTCGGAGTCAAGACGATTTCCCACCGGATCGATGCTCAGCACTGGAGACACAAGACAGAGAAGCAACAGGAGCGGGAACACAAGAAAGCTTCCGGCTCTGGCCCCATGGGTGCTGTATCCGGTAATCCATCCGGTGGACAAAGGGTGGGAACAAGAGGTTGTCTAACAAAACAAAACCTCTTCATCTTCCTCTCCCTCCAATCCCTCCTCCGGTCAGAAGAACTCTGGGAAACCTTCCGGTTCTTCAACTCGTCCTGCTTCCAGCTCTAGCAGCAACACAGCTCAATCTTCCACTCCAAAGGCTGTGCCAAAGCCATACACCGATAAACTCAACAAGAGTGGGAAGATCAAGTGGGATGAGCAGGAGTGCCAGAAGAAGCTCGGCCTTTGCATGTACTGTGGGGGTTTGTCACAGTCAAGACTTCGCGTCCAACTCTACAAGAGAGTGGATTGGGGAATGCGAGTGGTTGTCTCGAAAAGATGATCAAATAAAAGACTAAAGAATACAGGCAATAACTACACTGCTTAAATACTGTTCTATGAACCGTGTGAACTACAATATATTTATACTGTACAATAGCCCGTAGTCGTGTGTGGGGCTACACCTGTCATAAGTTAGGAAAACCTTTTGTCGAACATCCCGTAGCAACATGTCCTATTATCCCCGGGCGTTTCATCTATACATATCCCTGACATCATCGTTCTGTTCCGATCCGTTCCGGTGTCACATGCTCTTTGGTGTTTATGTCTCAGCGCTTAGGTTCGGCGTTGTCACGTGGAGATTGGTATCAAAGCGTGACATTACCCCCCCTCTAGGATCAACGTCCTCGTTGACTTTAATGAACGTGTTGGACTCGGGAATAAATAATTTCTTCATCGAGTATTGCAAGGACTCCTCCTTATGCTTGTATCTTTTGATTAAATAATCCCAATGTCCTTTCGGAAAGATCGGGAGTGCGCGAATATTAATGCCATGATCCTTGTTATATTTATCAAGGATCTTCTTGACGTGCGTCAAATGACGCCTGGGTTCCCACGTCCTCTCCCCGAGAGGATAATTCTTCCACTTGATTAGATATTGGAAGCCTCTGCCGCGTTTGCGGTGCTTCAATATCTCCTCCACCTCATATTCCTTGTGTCCCTGCACAATCTGAGGCGCCGGCCTCTCTTCTCTTCGTCCGATCGGTGGCTCGACATAGGGTGTCAGCAGTGCCTCGTTGAAAACTGGATGTGACTGGTCCGTTTCAGGCAATCTGAGCTTGTACGCCGAAGCTCCAATCTTCTCCAACACTTCATAAGGTCCCAGCCTTCTATCATCAAACTTCTTGGTTGGATGATCTGTAGTGATATTTTCGGCCTCCAGCCACACCTTATCGCCGACCTTGAAGTCAGGCGCCTCGCGCCTATGAATATCATAATATTTTTTCATGGTTTTCTTGGTTTTTTCCAGCGCAGCTGCCGCCTCATCACAGATCTTTTTCATTTTCTCAGCAAAGTTGTTCGCGGCCTCGTTGCGCGACTCAACTGCATTTTCTATCCCCTTCCAAGGGTGGTATCCCGTGTTCACAAAGAACGGTGACATGCTCGTGGACGAGCTTTGCTTATCATTGTGAGTGAACTCGGCCAAAGCAAGCCACTCTGCCCAATCCGATTGGCGATAATTTACGAAAATGCAGAGATATTTCTCTATCTCCTGGTTCATGCGCTCCGTCTGTCCATCAGTGATCAGATGGAAAGCCGTACTCGGGTTCATCTTAATCCCGAGGAGCCGATTAAGCTCCCTCATGAAGCCGGAGACATATCTCAGATCCCGATCCTTGATTATCTTCCGCGGTACACCGTGATATCTAATCACGCGATCCCGGGTCAACCGGGCCATTCCTTCAGAGGTCAACTCCATATTGGTTGGTTCGGCGTGGATCATCTTCGAGAATGTATCCACCCAAACTTGAATAGCATTAAAGCCGTTGCTGAACGGCAGTGGCCCGATGAGATCCTCCGATATGACCTGCCAGGGTCCTTCCGCAATCCCGTGCGGATTCAGCCTTCCTTGCTTATATCGGTGGACTCGTGTACGTTGGCATGCCTCACATTCCTTGATATAAATGGAGACTTGGTTGCCGAGCCTCGGCCACCAATAGTTTCGTTCAATCAATTCCTGCGTGCGGTTCTCTCCAGGATGACCGACCAGGACGGAGTCATAGTGCAAACCAATGATTTTATCGCGGAGTTCCTTATCAAAAGGAACATAGATCAATCCGTTGTAATAAATAACATCTTCAATCTTTTCCCATCCAGGGAGCTTCTTCTCAAGTGCCAGCTTGACACTCTTATCTACGCGCTTCGTGGCCTTGATCTGTGACATGATCTCGGCCTCCGGCCCTTCCATAACGATCTCCTGAGATCGGAAGTATTCCGGCTTGAGAAGGATGACGTTCTCATTGTCGTTCTTCCCTTGATCATGATCAGCCCGGCGGGATAATAAATCAGCTTTCTTATTCAAGGCCCCGGCCCGATGGGTAAGCGTGAAGTCGTATTCAGATAGTTCTACTATCCATCGTGCCTGCCGCCGATTGACTTTCTGTGGACTCTTAAAATACTGGAGATTTTGGTGATCCGTCAGAATCTCGAATGTTTCCCTTGCGCCTCTAATGGGAGCATTATCGCGAGCATCTCTTTGTCATAGATCTCGTAATTTCGCTCTGTCTCATTGAGTCCGTGGGATTGGAACGCTATCGACCTCCACCCCCCTTCTTGCTCCTGACTAAGCACAGCTCCAGTTGCTCCTTCCGACGCATCGGCTTCTAGCCGGAACTTTCCGTGGTCCGTGGGAAGTGCTAAGACGGCGTCTTCAGCAATCCGGTCCTTTAGTTTCTGGAACGCGGACTTCTGCGCTTCTCCCCAGGAGAAGCCTTCCTTCCCGGTTAATCGTGTGAGTGCCTTGGCCACCTCACTGTAACCTCTTACGAATCGGCAATAGAAATTTCTGAATCCTAAAAACGCCTGCACCTGCTTAAGGTTTTTGGGTTCCGGCCACTCGGCGATGCCACGGATCTTAACAGGATCCATGCACATCAAGTTGTGTCCAATAATTACATCGAGATACTCGATCTCGGTTCGTTCGAATTCACATTTCTGTGGCTTTAAATAGAGCTGGTTCTTGGCGAGTATATCCAGTACTCGTTTTACGATAAGCCGGTGTTCCGCCAGGGTGTCCGTGAAAATAAGAATATTGTCGAGGTAGACGATGACTCTTCCCTCGTTTATGAGATCGCGAAGAATGTCATTCATCATCGTTTGGAAAGTAGCGAGCGAATTGGTGAGCCCAAAGAACATGACCAAAGGCTCGAACAAGCCTCTGTTCGTTCGGAATGCCGCCTTCCACTCGTCTCCCTCTTTGATCTGAATATTATTATATCCCCAGCGAATATCTAGCTTCGTGAAGATCTTCGCTCCTCGGAGTTTGTGTACCAGCTCCGAGATAAGCGGCAATGGATAACGATTCTTGATCGTCATATCGTTAAGCTTCCGGTAATCTTGTACCGGTCGAAGGCTTCCATCCTTCTTTTTGATAAAAAAGAATGCCGATGCCATCGGCGACTTGGACGGCCTAATGCGTCCGCTCTGCAAGTTCTCCTCTAGGAACTTTGTC